CGGCCATGTGATATTGGTGGCCTCCCAGGTGTGTACAACACAAATATGTGGTTTAGGGCAAGAAAAAAAAACCTTAGGGTAGTCAACATTGGCTTTCAAGTGAGAAAAACGGGCGACGGAGGGCGATGGAGGAATAAAACTGGTTGCCAGAACAATTACTGGTCTCCCACCCTTCTACAACCTTCCTAACAATGAAACAGAGGTCCCTGCTAAAAATGAACCCAAACCGATGCAAAATGAAGGTTCGGGGGCCGAAACGCCCAGCCCGAGGCCCCGAAAACTGACTGTTAGGCACCGGAAGTGGTGTTCGACCATGAAGTTGGTTTCTCGAGCCACAGTGTCCCTCAAAAGGGAGCAAATAACATACATGCCAAAAACCGGAGCAAACGGAGGTGGTTAAGCGGTCCCGAACCGAGGCACACGGCCAACGGCCCCAAAAAATCGGAAATCGGACTCCAAACGGGCAAAATGGCCTACGACCACGAAACGTAGCCTACGGCCACTGAGAGATAATCTACGAGACCTCTCCCTCCCTTCGGGAAGAGAAAACAGAGAAAATAGAGCCTGGTTCGCAAACCGAGGCAAAGCATGAAAGAGTCCGGAATTCCGGTGGCAAGGCTCGCAGCCGAGACTCTGAGACTTCTGAACAAGCACAATATGCACCATCACCGAGCGCTCAATCGGTGACGTCTGAGTTTGAAGGTCGGTCAAAAATGGGGTGTCTACAATGATGAATGGTTCTTTAACGACAACCATCACTACAACATATGAATTTTAGAAATTAGATTTTTGTTCCAAAAAGTGAAAAAAAATTTGTAAAAATATTTGGAGATCAAATTCTGTCGTCGTGAGGATAGCAGCTAAAAGGTTGTCCCGAAAAGTCAAAAAAAGAGGACTTTTAGCAACAAAATTGTAAAAATGTCGCTAATATATGCACTTCAAGTAGGAATGTAAATTCGGCCTAGCTTGAGCCGTTTGACCTTAGTCTTGGCCCGTCTCGACCTAGGCCCGCTTGGGCTTTTGCTAATCGTGTTGGGTTGGGTTGGCCCAATTCCCAAAAATCTAGGCCCAAGGCCGCCCAAGGGTATTTGGGCTTCGAGCATTGTCATGCCCCACTTTTTATTACCTGATTAACATTACCATATCTAGTAAACTAACCCATTTTCATTAATAGCACGTAGAAATATACAAACATTACATCCATAAATAAAAGAAAGTCCTCTCAATGTACATATATTGAATACAACATAAATTTCATTTAAACAAAATGTTTGTAGGCTTAATCTTTACATAAAAATTAAGGGTTTAACCCTTTTACAATAATGGCGTTCCGCCAACAAATATAAGGCTCTGTGGCCAACAATTAAAGAATATCGCCGATCTTGAACCACTTCTCAACTTGCACCTGAAAAATGATGAGCAACATGAGATGAACATAAAGTCTAGTAGAGGTCCCAACATAATCCTAAACAATAACAACAAACAGCTAGCTATGATCATGAATACACCATGACAATACAATATAAGTAATGTGACAGTCTAATACCCAAAATATACTTATATCCTTACATTTTCCCAAAGTCATCCACTTTAACACACAACATGTACAAACCTCGAACTCTCTTTCTATCTTTCCATTTTAGTTCAAAAGCATTTCATCACAGCATTTCCCTCAATCTTTACCCTTCTACTATGAGTTAAATGAATTTCATCCCAACACTTGTTTTAAAAACACGTTTTCACAACTAGTTATAACCCAATCTTACATTCCGACACACTGTACACATTTACCCATCAATACATCTACTACCTTCCATGGCCCTCAAACCAAGGGCAAGGAACACCTACAACATTATACCAAGACATATATTTCTAAACATTTATAATCGAGAGTAATACATGCTTCCATTTTCACCGGCCTACAGCACGAATGGCAAATGCAACAACCATATAACACAAAATGCTTTATCGGCTTCACCTGGAGGGGAAACGACCCCAAGGTCACACTTTAGGGGCGCAAACCGGAAGGAAGAGGAACCTCTGTCAAGGCACCACATTTTACCCACTTAACTAGAAAGAAACGGACCTCCAAACAATATCACAACAAGCTAGGCACATAAATATTACACTAGTATAATACATACACATAATTTATTCAACAACAACAATGTAATCCTCCGCCGATGGCCAAGGACAAAACCTCTAACAATTAGATACAAGACCCTTATGAACTAAATTCCACAACAAGTTCCACAATTCCAAACATTAACATTTTCAATAAAATCATTTCATAACCAACCATTTTTCCCTTTTGTTTCACAAAAGTGACACACACCTCATTTTGTTTCCCAAAAGTGACACACACCTCATTTTGTTTCCAAAATCAAACCCGTTGTTCCAAATCCTCAACATTTCTAACCCTTAACCAAATTCCCTGTTTCTTTAACAATATCCAAATTGTTCTACACGACAACTTACCAGCACAACACAACAATAACCAACCAAACACAATTAATTTGTCTTTACCAACCAACGCACTAATTCATTCACATAACGTATAACTCACATTTCATCCAACTTTACTCATTTTTATAATATTAAACCCTTAATAACAAATTAGGGCTTTTCTCCACAATCAACATATACATGATTAACTACCTCCGAACATACTAAATCAACCAACAATCATACAATTCCAACTCTCAGAACACAAACCCCAAATCTCCTTTCATGCTTTTGAAAAATCCCTTAACAAACATATTTTTAAATGCAATAAAAACTACCACATGTCTATCTATAATGAGGTATTAAAAATGAGCAAAAGAATCCCTACCTCAAGCAAAAAGAGAAGAAAGTCCGGAAATTTAACTTCGATGAAAACACGATCAGTTTAGATTAAAAGGAAGCTCTTGTCGTGTTCTACGTTTTGGTATATAGAACTAGGGGTCAAAGATGTTTAGAAATAGATGAAATTAAAGGTAAAGAGCTGGGAAGCTCAAAAATAGTGGAAAAGGAGCGAAGAGAGAGTGAAAAATGAAAAAATTTAACCCAAAAAATGACTTTTAAAGATCTGTTTGAAAAAACAACTTTCAAAAATTTGGTCTCGAACAGACCCCTTGAGTGATCAAATCTGCGCTCGAGCGATGAATGTAATCTCTCAGTATCTATACTGTCTCGAACAGATTGTTCAAACGGTCAAAAGTGGGGCTCAAACGATGAATCAAGACTTGCAATATCTCAAAGAATTTTGAAAAACAGGGTTGGAATGGTCTATGGACCGTTCTAGTGGTGAAACTTGCACTCAATTGAACTATGCATACATCACAGATTCGCAAACTTCAAACGGGTATAGCTCTCTCTTTCGAACTCTATTTAGGGTCATTCTTGTGTCCAAATTGAAATCCCGACAGTGAGCTTTCCATTGGTTCTATCCTAAGATTAAGATTCAAAGTGTGGAGAGAGAAAATGATAAAAGAGTGAAGACTACTCAATAACAACTATTTGAATTTGGAGTTTTTTTATCTAATCTTGCCCAACCACTATGGTAACATCTCAACCAAGGCTCAAATATCGACTATGAAGGTTCTCAATTATGATAATCAAAGAGTCAAATATAATTCTATTATACTACGAAGTACAAGGTGCTACAAGCATGGCCTTGGGCTTGACTTTTTTTTTCTTTTTTTTTTTATCAATTTTTTAATTTTATTTTGCTACTGCAGGTGACCATTGCGCCTTGGGTTGGGCTAATCAAATTAGACCTAGAAATGTATGACCTAAGAGTCTCGGGCTGAGCTAGCTTCAGGTCCATTTTTACAACCCTAACATTTAAAGATAAAATAATTTGATCCTTTCATCACTATCCAATTTCATCACTAAAAATATAATCATGACATTTTTTTACAACAAACATATTTCGTCCCTAAAAAGTGATTTTGTCCTTTAATTATATCATTAAAGTTTTAATTTGTTGTAGTGCATACACTTATTAGTAGATAAATTTATGAGTGAGAATTTGACAAGCAATCAGTTAAAACGAGTCAAACCGTATGCGTGATTAAATTGTTAGGACTAATGAATAGCAAATAAAAAAGAGAGAAAAATATTAAAATATAAAGGAAGAATGGATTGCAATCAAGTGAATTAGTTTTTTTTTCAATTTTTTTATCAGAATTTTATTAAAAATATAAAGGGAACGAAGATTATAGGACAATAGAAAAACATCAAGGTACAAGACAATATCAAATCATGGCTGCAATAACATATCCCTAAGAGATGTTTTTATTTTTCTATCTCTCAAGCTTTTTCTTCTTATTTTATTTTATTTTATTTATTTTTTTTTGAGATAATTGGGTATCCAGAGTCCTTCAGGGACTTACCTTTTTAGTTAAAAAGTCAAAAAGTTACATTTTTAGTTAAAAAGCCAACAACTCATACAAAAAAGTCAAAGATTCTCTTTTCTCTCTACTTTTTGCACATCTTTTCGTAATTAGCCAAAAAATCATCCCAAACATATAAGTTTTTTTTACCTATTTTTTTAACAAAATAGTCAAAAAAATTACTAAATTAACCTGTTCCCTTGGATGATTCGAACTAAAAAATGATCCACTTAATGGAGGACTTGCAGAGAAGTTTGTGGAAGATGACGGGGAAGGGTAGTAGAGGGATTTGAATAATTTAGGGAATGATGAGAGAGAAGAAGAGATGGTGAGTTTGTATACTTCTTTTAAAATTTGATGCCAAAATGTAATTTTTTATTTATTTTTTCTTTTTAAATTTGAGGATAAGGAATAACAACAATGATTCATCCCCTTTTCTCCCACCCCTTTGACCCCCTCTCTCTCTCATTGGTTACATTTTCTTTTTCTTTTTCTTTTTTTTCCTTCTCCTTCAATCACCACCCGCCACGTGGCCAATGGGGGGGTGAGGGGTGACCCAAAAGGAGGTCCCAAGCATTATTCAAGGAATAAATTGATATGATTTTAAAATATTTTGAGGATAAATTTGAAATTATTTGGTGCAACACATCCTAACTCCCTCTTCTTTGGCATTGCTCCTAACTTCCTCAGTTGGGGCTTGATACTCCCAACTCTCGAATCTTCTTCCTAATCGAATGGCGGGGGCTGCGACAGTATCGCCCTACATCAGCCTCACATGTACCAATCTTCGCAACACCATCTCACCCTCTCGGCCTCTCTCGTTCCCTCCTCAATCACTAGTTCTTCGTCACCACTTCTTCAGAACCAGGTTCAATGGAAACTCGAGGCTTATCAGCACTCATCGCTCAAAGGTTACTCTCCCTAGTATTCATATTTTTCTGTTAATTTTGGAAGCGACCTAGATTTATGTTAGTTCTCAATTGAAGGGTTCGATTGGTGAAGAAGAATTGGAGGAAATTGATGAAGCTTTCTCGTATAATAATGACAATGTGATCGGCGAAGAAGAAGAAGAGAGCGATGAAGATGATGATACGGAGAGCAGTCTCGATTTGCTATTCAGGTTTCTCCAAAGCATGTTTAAGAAGCTCTCCAAGCGTGTTCGAAAGGCCTCTCGTTCTGTCTTGCCTGCTGTCATTCCTCCTCAGCTGGTATACTTTCTACTCTCTCTCTCTCTCTCTCTCTCTCTTTCTGAGCGTATTGTCTCTAGCTTCTTGAATATTGAATGTGGTGATAAAAATAATTTTTTGTGACTATTTTTTACGTATGTTGTTAAAAATTAACAATTATTGATTTTTTTGGCCAGAACTTTTATAAATTATGTTAAAACTTATAATTAATGACGTTTTTCTTATACGAATTTTTTAATGTTACTGAAAGTTGAAAATTAGTGTCTTTTTGTGACAATATTTTTAAATTGTCTCTAAAACTTATAATTAGTGACATTTTTTGTAACAATTTTTAAACTGTCGCTGAAAATTAATAATTAGTGACTTTTTTTAATAGTATTTTATGAAAAACATTATTAATTATTATAAGACTTATTGAATAATAAGTTTACCTATTAAAAACTTACATGTAAGTCTCTAATTGGAATTTGGTTTGTAAGCACATTTATATTATATTTGAATTGTTCTCATCTATTGTGGTTCTTACCCATTATATTTGAAATCATTTTAATTTTTGTGAAGGCTTATGAGTGAGTCTGAATCTTTACATGAAATAATCAAAAAGGGGAAATTTGTTTTTAGGCCTCCTTTGCATTTCCGCCCTCCAAATTCCGTACAGTATATTCATTGAATTATACCCTTTTAAGGATGGATTGTGCGAGGGTAAACATTCATAAATATCCCTTTTGAGAGCCAATAGAGGGATACACACCTTCATTTAGGGTTTGTTTGATTAGGCAAATTTTGGCATTGCATTAGGATTATTAATCCATGTAACTTACATTCTAATGTTTGGTTGCAATTTAGTGTTATTCTGATTAGATATTGATGGACATTTTATCCAACAAAATTGGTGGATTTTTTAATTTTACAACTAATAATGGAACACAAACATATAATTGGGATTATATATTTCCATATTCATTGCAAAATAAACATGGATATGAGGGAATTGTTTATCCCACTAATCCAGCTGGATAACTAATTCTACATTAATCCCATGGATTGTTAATCCCTTCACTATTAAAATCCTCCTAATCAAACAAGGCCTTAGAGTAATGAATTCAAAATGAATAAATTAATTGATGAAAAAGGATTTTCATCCTGATCTACAATTGGAAGATGGAATTTAGTTTTGCCTGGATATGAATTTACTCTGGGTCAAATACATTTAGAAAATGAAATTTTATTTCAAGAGCATAGGGGCTGAGTGAAACAACAGAAGTATACCGAATGCCAGGGTGTGCTATTAATTTTATATTTCCAGTGCAAGGGGGCTGTGGTAGTTTATGAAAGATTTGATAAGACTGCAAGACAGAATAGAGTGAAAAGAAGAAGAATGTGAATCAATCAAAAGAAAACCGTAAGCTATACATTATTTGATTTCATCATCAGAATACAATCTCAACCGTCCCTATATAGAGAAACAAGCTCTACACAACAACCCCTACACTCTGTGTAATGATCCCTCAAGTAACTATGACAGCTGGCCTAGATTTAGTTATAACTACAAATCCAGTTATCACTATTCTATCAATACAGTTTTGGTTTAACATCCCCTCAAACTAATGGGCACATAAATGGGCATTAGAGAAAAATTTCTTCATAAGCTTTAAAATGATAAAAAGAAAATTTTCATATTTATGTTTTAATGGAAAAATCTGAGTGACTCTGCTATAGTCATCAACAAATGAAACATAATACCTATAGCCATCAATGGAAGTAATTAGGGCAGTACCCATACATCACTATGAATGGGTTGCAAAGGAGTACTAGCTCTAGTGTATGAATTCTTAGATGGAAGTTGTGACATTTTGCCATGAAGGCAATGTTCACACAATACAAAATCAATAGTTGTTGCAGACAAAGAAACAATATGAATAGAAATATAGGGGTGTTCGAACAATAGGAGTCCTACTGATACCAATATTGGCAGTAACAATTGTAGTAGAAGATGAGGACTGTGCGGGAAAAGATGGATGACAAGCATTGAGGGGATAAAGTCTATCTTTACTCAGGCCCTTGGACTTTCTCTGTAATCTTGTTCTGAATAGTAAAGTGATGATCATCAAAATAAAAGGAAAAATAATACCTTTACATAGTTTATGAAAAAAAGTAGATTGTATGAAATAAGAGGAACTTTGAGAATATTGTCTGGCAAGTCCTGACCTTTTCCAATAGAGACTCTGTCAGTGCCTGTAATAAACTCATGGCCAAGAGAGAGGTTTGACATATCAGATGTAATGTGGTTAGTTGCCCCAATGTCTGTGAGCTAATTATTGTTTGGAGCATGTGCATGAGATCTGTTGTTGGAAACTGATGCTATAGCAGAGAGTTTGGCTGGAGGAGTTCTATCTTAATGGGCATAGTTCGTCCTATGATAGCAATCCAAGGCTGTATGTTCAAAATATATTTGACAAACAGGTTTGGAATCGTTGTGAAAAGTGTTTGATCTAGTTGTGTAGAGATGGGCCTATATTGAGATGAAATACCTCCTTGATTGTTGTCATAATGAGAAGAGGAAGCAAATCTCACTCGGCCTCTGTTATTATACCTTGATTGAAATTTGAGGATTGAGATCTTCTACAACCTTGATTGTTGAAACGATAACGATAATTTGAAGAACAGAATGCCTTATATTTGATAGGTAGCCCTTTCAAAGCTATATGAAGTAATCCCTCATCATCAATTTTTTTGAACAAACAAAAGAAACTTTATTGATAATAATCAAAAGAGATACATCAATAAAGAAGGGAGGGTGCAAAAAGCATCACAACCAGCTCTATAATCCCAACCAAGTTGGCAGCGTAGAACTAGCAAAATCATCTGCTAGCACACCTCAAGGTTGGTGAGCAACCAACCAACAGACACAACACAGTAAATTCCATAGCAAGAATTGACACCCACAACTGTCAGCCAAAGAAAATCAATCTAGACAGCCACCACCACCCTATGCCCAAGGCAGGCTCTGACATGCCTGAATTAAACACAAAGTCATTGATTGTGAAATGATACTCTTTGAACTTCAGATTAACCCACATAGCAATTCTGATCTTGATTAACTCACAGACCTCAGCCAAATTGGGAGTAGAGTCCAGTGTTTTTAAAAGCTCAAGGCGCACTAAGGCGCTGAAGGTCTCTCGGGGCCAAGGCGCAAGGCGCAAGGTGAGGCGCGGGCTTTATTGAAGTAAGGCGCACAGTCTTAGTAAAAAATAGCAAAATTAACATAGACTAATCATTCATAGTACTAAGACAATTTTTTTAAAAATAAAAGGTAATCAACATTCAAAGCAAAATATAGAATAATTCTCAAAGTCATGAAAGTACATATTACATAACATTTCAAACATCCAAAAACATAAACATAAACATAAACACTAAATATCCAAAACATAAATATCCAACATATACTAATATGTCTTAACACTTAAAAACATCAACATCAAAAGAAATGGTAGGTTAGGTCGGTCAGTCAATCATCATCCTCAACATCAATGGCAAGCAAACTATCATCTTCTTCTCCATCAGTTGATTTGTATCCCTCAACATCTTCCTCCTCTGTGTCATCTGAGCCCGCTTCCTCTTCATCTATTAATTGAAGTGGAGTCAATGTTGATGATTTAGATATCCTCGGTTGTGCCTTTGAGCGTGAACTTGTTGCTCTACTTGCATGGCTACTTTCTTCTACTCCAGAAGCTCTAGCAACAGTGGCCCATGTCAAGCCATCATCATCATCAAACACAGGCTCATTATCTTCATCTGATTCTCCATCCATCCCCTCCCAAGCAACCACTCATTGCTTTCATCAATATTTTGCAAAGATATGGGATCAAGAGTGTTGCGCATGTCATACAATCTCAATGTTCTATTATATTTGACAAACACTAAATCATTGAGACGTTGTTCCAATCTATTTCTTTTCTTGCTATGAAGCTGCAAGTATTGAAAAGATATTAAATTCTATATAATGAGAATAAAAAATATTTGATTCAACAAAAAATTAGTTAGGATGTTAAATACTCACATGTTCAAATACACTCCAATTTCGTTCACAACCCGATGAACTACACGTTAGGCTAAGGACTTTTATGGCAAAAGTTTGTAAGTTTGGAGTTTAATTAATGGAAAATTATTTTTTTAATGTAATGTAATGTGTTTATTAAATTTAGAAAATAATGTAATGTGTCTATTTTTTTTTTTAATTATTCTAATTAATGTAATTTGTTTTTTTTCTGTTTAAATTATTCTATTTATTTATTTATTATTATTTTTAACAGAGACTCAAAGGCATAATTGAAAAAAAAAAAAAAACAGAACAAAGCAGAGCAGACTGAATCAGCGAAGAAGACAGAAGAAGAAGGAGAGAAAAAGAAGAAGAAGGAAAGAGATTATGGAAGTCGAAGAAGCCAGATAAAAAAAAAAAAAAAAAAAAACAAAACACCCATCTGGAATTGGGATGTAACTCCCCCAATTTTTAAGGCCATAAGGACATATTTTTTGTTAAACAAATTTATTTTGTATTAGAAAAATTTAAAATCTCATAATTTGAGTTTTATAGATTTGTTTTTAATAAAATTCATATATGTATATTCGTTTCTTTTGATATTTTTCAAAAAATATTAATATTAAATATAATTTTTTTTAAAAAAAAAGTGAACAAAATGATTTTTCGATCAACCAAAACTGCGAAGTATGAATTTTTTGTAAAAGTAAATGCTCAAAATTGCCTTCACCAATTTCAGATGGATAGGTTTTGAAAAAGGATAAATCAGTAAAACATCTCTTTCCAACTTTTGATAGTTAGAGAAATTCGATATATTTTTTCTTATTAGTTAATGTTGCTTAATAATATTACAAGCTAAAATTTTTCTGTGAAGTTGAAATTTCTCTATAAAATTTTACTTTGAACCTTGTACTGAAATTTTTCTGTGAAAATATTGAGGGACTCCAACTATTATGAAAATATTATATGTTCTGTATCTCATAAAATCTTAATATTAGGACTTTAAACTAAAATCCTACGAAAAAATCTATGAAATAAAAAATATATCATTCAAAAAGGACTTGTAAAATTATGACATGTTGAAATTTTAAAATCA